TCCCACTCCCAACCCACCCAACCGCCGCAGCATGATACTGTGGTCCACAGTATCAAAAGCCGCTGAGAGGTCCAAAAGAACAAGGACAGAGGAACAACCCCTGTCCCGGGCCCTCCAGAGATCATTTACCAACGTGACCAATGCCGTTTCCGTGCTGTACCCCGGCCTGAAGCCCGACTGGAGAGGGTCCAGATAGTAACGGAAGCGGCAAATTAATCTTTTTATGGGGGATCAAAATATATGAAATTGAAAAATAGTTGCTGACACCTAGTGGTGGATGAAGACTATGATAGCTATGACTTTAATATAAGACTTGGCAAAACCTGGGAAAAGCTAATCTGTGTTCCACTTTATCTCCAGGAATCAACTCCAAGGCCAATTGCTTATCAAATGAGCAGACTAATATACATATTAGGGTTACCAATAATAGAGGCCCAAGCTGTGCTACCAAATTGGTCTGATAAAGCACTGCATTTCCAATTTGGCAAGTGAATATTTTAAGGACATTTCTGTAGGTGCAAGAAATCAGGAACCAGGATTGTTCAAATGAGTTCAAGTTTATTCCATGCTATCCCTCTACAAAAATCTGAACTACTAATGGTCAAGGCAAATTGGTAGTAGATAAGAGTCAACAGAATTCAAGGAGGGCTGGACTTAGATCTCTTGTGGGCATGAAGGATTTCCAAAGTGATGATGTGTTTCACCCTTCCCTTATGCTCAACCTGGTCCTCTTCTACAGTTTATTTGTTGCCTAATATAATGCTTCTGAACACAGTCTTGGTTATTTTTCACAGAGAAAAGGGTTGATGAATTTTTCTATAACTCTAATTTGGTCATTCATGAAAAAACTCGAGATAGTCCAAAAGTGAAACTAAACCTAGTGTTCCTACACTCTTCCATGTTAAGTGTATACATTATTGTGGATTTATTTACAAATCTCATTTACACATAAATCCAGCAGCAACCTAGAGAAGATGATCATAGAAAAAATCAAGAATATACCATAGATACATCTGTGAAGTTGAGCTCATCAAATTTTGAGGAGGTGGAGACACTCTTAATTTTTAACAACATATTAGACGTACTCACAGATAACTACATACACACACCCCACACAAAGAGGATACAGTACTCTTGTTCACACCCAAGGTGTTCTTTACTTTTTGTATTGTCTTTCTTCTTGGCAAGGAAATGTTCTTAGCCTGGATTTACTATTTTGCAAGAATATTTCTGGAATCTACGTGGATTCAAAGTTCTAGGAAATAAATACAATGTATAAGACCCTTTGCAGCATGTTAGCTTTCTTTAACATTTTAAAAAATGTTACATAAACTTAAAAAAAAAGAAGTGCGACAATGAAACTGGCCTTCATCAAGAGCAAAGCCTATGGACATATTAGCACCCTAGGCATCAGTTAGATTCGAAGAGGTAAACCAATTAATTGAATTCATCTAAAATGCCAAACAGCTTTTCATCTCTTGTAGAAAAACCAGCAGTATTACTTATCTGTAAGTTTTATCTGTGCTGACTTTGAATTTTTCCACATGCAAGGGCTTGGCTGATTTGAGATCTATGGTATATTCATATGTACGTATTTGCACTCTGTGGGACTTCCAAATGTTTTTGCAACTGAACTGATTAACATTTGGCTCAAGTACTCCAAATAAAATGCTGTGAAGAGACTTTTGCACATTTGCTTTGGGAGCTGTGGCAGGATCTTCCACCATTCGATTCATGAAGCCGAGATAACCTGAGAACCTTAAGATTTATTGGATAGATTTTTCTCCATTTTCTCCTGGCTATTCTGAGTAGGACTTTGCCATTTTCCTGTACATAGGATGGGGCATTTCCACTCCCATCATGAAAGATGAATGGAGCAAGGAAGGGGGAAGAATAAAGAGCCAGTTGGCTGCTGTTTTTCATGCTTTCCCATTGGCCAACAAAAAGGAATACTGTTTGGCCCAAAGGGAGGGAAAGAACAGAGGAGAACTGCACTGAGAACACCATGTAGACCTGCAAAATGTATTTACATTTCCTATTT